ATGGAGGTAGTGACAGATTTTATTTTCCTGGACTCCAAGATCACCACAGGTGGGTTCTGCAGCCAAGAAATTAAAAGACGCTTGCTCCTGGGGAGGAAAGCTATGGCAAATCTAGACCGCATACTAAAAAGCAGAGACATCACCCTGCCAACAAAAGTGCGTATAGTCAAGGCTATGGTTTTCCCAGTTGCAATGTATGGCTGTGAAAACTGGACCATAAGGAAGGCTGAGCGCCGAAGGATTGAGGCCTTTGAATTGTGGTGCTGGAGAAAACTCCTGCTAGTCCCTTGGACTGCAAGGCAATCAAACCAGTCAGTCCTAGAGGAGATCAACCCTGACTGCCCTTTAGAAGGCCAGATACTGAAGATTAAACTCAAATACTTTGGACATCTAATGAGAAGGAAGGACTCCCTGGAGAAGAGCCTGATGCTGGGAACAATTGAGGGCAAAAGAAGAAGGGGATGGCAGAGGATGAGGTGGTTAGATGGAGTCACTGAAGCAGTTGGTGTGAGCTTAAGTGGACTCCAGGGATGGTGCAGGACAGGAAGGCCTGGAGGAGTGTTGTCCATGGGGTTGTGATGGGTCGGACACGACATCGCGACTAACAACAACAACAACAAAAAGATGAATCTTTTAGATACTGGAGAAGAGTAGGGAGATCAGAATCAGCAACATTTGAATGTGTTAAGCTGATTGGCATTTCATTTCAAAGTTGTGGACTTGGACACAATGGTTAATGTAGTCCCACTAATAGAGGTGTCTAAGATACCACTGGGTCCAGGTGTTGTTTTGTTTTAGAGGATGAATGAGTTTCAGTTGCTGAGGACGCCGACAAAGTGCTTGTCCAAGCCTGGTTGACCACATGTGTGCTTGACCCTTGCCCATTGTGGCTTATTGCAACTAATAGGGAGGGGATGGCTGGCAGCATCCTTAAAAGGAAGAGATATTGGGCCACTCTTGGAAAAGCCAAATGTGGTTCCAGAAGATGCTTAATTGCTGAGACGGCTTTTCTGGGCAAGGTGATTTTGCCCATGGTTGCTAGCCAACTCTAGACACTCTTGAACGAAACTTATCTTCTAGGTTTTCTAATGCACCTTATTTCTATGTCAATCATGTTCAGGCCTGGTTTTAGTTGCCATGTCGGATGCCCTCCGCGGAGAGAATAGCAGGAGAAGTGTGCTCCTGCCATTTCTCTTGGACTTCTTGGTGGCCTTTACACAGCATGCTCTGACCTAGTGCTGCCGGAGAGGTTTGTTCTTTCCCTTTGGTCAGACGTTTGTGCTAGCTTATCTGATGAATATCATACAAACTGCAGGTTTGGCCCTTGAATCAGCTTAAACTGTGTTTGCCTCCAGAAGCACAGTGTGCATGTCCTGGATTGACTAGGTAGGATTTTTTCCTAGAATATGGCTGAAGTAACCTCAGGGGTCATTTAAGTTCAGCTCTGCAAACTAAGAAGATATCTTTTATTGGACCTACTTTTGCTGCAGGGAGCATGCAAACTTTGCAAAAATACTTTAAAAAAAACAGAGCAAAAGAAAAGTAAACAATTTTTTTTGGAGAAGGATTGCAAGCAAAATATATATTTTATGACTGAAACCCATGAACAACCTTCTGGCAAAGATCAGATATTTAAGCTGCTGAAAGACCATTTCTCATTAAAACTGTGTGATATTTCTTTTCCTTTAAACGTGGGGGAAAGGGAGTTATTGATACTTGCACCGCTAAAATACAAATCACAGAAACTTCCAGGAAATACAAAGTTGTTTTTTCTTTTTCATGCTTGCAAAGAATTGGAATATGATATACTTTTAATATTCCAAGCACAGAAGTGATTTGTTTGAAATTAAATTATGATTACCTGCATGACTCATATCATCTCTGCAGGGAAGCATTAATTGTACAAACATGGGTCCGATCAGAAGGGAAATAAACATTTTGACAAAGTTCTCTTTTTGTCCTGAGTAGTAACACATCCCCCATTCCTTCAACACCACCCTCCTCTCCACCAAAACAGTTGAAAAATAGCAAAGCACCAAAGGATCATGCCAGCAAATGTTTCTGATGATATATGCAATGCAATCTTATGTTTTGTGGTACTTTCAGCACAGGAAATCGGTCAATTAGAAACAGCCCAATTCAGATACTCCCCCCAATGCCCCACCCTGCTCCTAAAATCAGCAACAACAGATCATTTGAAGAAGGCCCTGCTGTGACAGGTATTCCTGCTCTGAATTCAATAATAGGACAACCTGCTGCTACTCAGTTGTTTGACACATGCAACATTCAAGGATCGTATGAACAATAGTATTGTGTTGGCTATGATTTGACCAAAAATCCTAGAAACTGGCCAGAAACTCTGAGGAGAAGCAGTTTCATCAAATGCTTCCTCTCACGATGTTGCTCCTCTGAAAGGTTCTGTTGGTTTTTCTGCAATTTTACCTGGAAGTAAGTACCAACAAACTCAGTGGGGCTTTACCTCTCAGTAAACATTTCTATTTTTTATTTATTACAGTTCTTTACTGCCCATCAGCTCAGAGGCTCCCTGGACAGTTTACATGCATTGAATAGCACTGTTCATCCCCAATGTTCCCCTCCATCCATCAAAAAACATGGAAGCATGGTCTTCCCTTTAAACATTAGGGCATGTTTTCAAATAAAGTATCTTTGGCTTTCTTGCACGATGTATTTATAAAAAATCAAATGTATAAAACATTCTGAAATGCCCAGGTTCAAAATAAGGTTGCCAGGATCAGTACCCTCTGGTTTTATATTTTTTAACAAGCTTAGTACAACTGCTCCCCTTTCTTGGAGGGATAGCTAATACCTCTCGAATGAAATGAGCTATTGGGGGACAGATCCACTTGCTCTGTAAAAGATGCACATTCTTCAAATATTAAATTGCTGCCCACTATGAAGGTGGCAAAATGGCTGGTCCTGTTTTGAATTTCCCCGGATTTAAAAGGCACGCACACATTTCAGGGAAGCACTTTGTGGGGGAAACAAAAAGGGGATCAACCTGATTCTCTCCTACCCAAAGAATTTTGCCGCACTTCCAAAACAAATAAAATGATTTCAAGGTGGTTGACTCAGCTGAGAAAAGTTCCTTATCCCATATTTAAAGTTCCTTATCCCAAACCATATCATTGTTTCTCATTCTCTCTCTCTCTCTCACACACCATGCTTGGCCCAATCCAATCTTTTAATTACAGTCCTCACAGCACATTTCATTGAAGTTGTATTATTTGTAACTTGCTATTAAGTGACTGACAATTAAATAACTCCCTTAGAAGAGCTAATGCAGCTCAGTGTCATATAAATTAGTAGACCAAAAGCATGAAAGGCTATTTGTTGCATCAACCCAAGCATCAGTGGGGAACTTATTAACAATTGCATAATTGAAAAAAGCAATGATACAATCTTTTACACCAGTTTGTGGAAATAAGAACTTTCATATGTCTAAGGCAACTAATTATCTTAACATTTGGGATGGTCCCAAGATTATGTGATAGAATTTTATGAAAACACCTGGTAGTTATTGCAGTAAATTCAGATTACTGTGTTCTCACACACTATAGATATCTCAAGTGCTAACATTCTGCTTTGCTGCTGCCACTGCTCCATTAAAGGAAATTGCCGCTGAATCTGTATCCGTATCCAACAGTGTGTCCTAAAAAAGATGAGAATTGCTTTCCAGCAATGTTTAGAAGCACATGCAGAAGCTCTGCAAGTGACTTAGGCATCCTCTGTATCTGGGTTTTGCGTGATAGAATTCTGCCATTTCTCACAGGAATTAAGGTACAATAGAGACCTCCCCAGAGAGGTCCGCCTGGTGCCATCGTTATTTGTTTTTCGGCGCCAGGTGAAGACCTTTTTATTTAAGCGGCATTTTAATTGTTAATATTATTGGATTTTATCTGGCCAGGGCAGCTTATTTTATATTGGTATTTTTGTATTTTTAACTTAATGTTTATATTTTTTTAATTTAATGTTATAATTATTTTTTAACTTATTGTTGTAAGCCGCCCCGAGGCTTCGGCGAATGGGGCGGCATAAAAATGTTTTAATAAATAATAAATAAATAATAGTAACAAACAAAAACAGTCAAATCCCATGCACTTTTTTGATTGGTGCTTACATGTAAAATGGCAAGAAATACAGCCTGGAACCACATGTTGGTGGTCGCTCTGGTTCTTGGAAGGCCAATATAGTCCCAGGCCTACCCTCTACCTACTTCACAATAAAGAAGTAGCAGCAGCAGCAGCAGCAGCAGCAGCAGCAGCAGCAGCAGCAGCAGCAGCAGCAGCGACTGCAGTGCATCCCAGAAGCATGGACCATGGCAGGCGGGGTCCCGTACACAGCTTCATCTCACCCTCCAAGTAGGATCGTGATCACACTGCCTGTTTGTCACACTGCCTCCAGAGGCTAAATTATGTGTTGTTGTTATACGCAAAATAATACTGAACCAAGCAGAGCAAGAAAATATCCAAGCACAAGCAGGAACTCAAAATGGTCAAATAATAACAGTGCTAGCTTTTCTTTAAAATTGTAAATAAACTATTACATATCATGTTTACATGTTACTATTTGGCTGCACAATGGGATACATGAATTAGAGAATGTGCAATTTCATATTCATCTCATTTCAAGTACACATGCAACCCTTCCGTAAGACCACTAGCAAAACTTGTGAAAAAGATGCCCAGGTATTTCTCAGAAAATCAAATATTCCTCTATGCACACATAATATCATATGCACCTAAGAGAAGAATGGATACAGATATGGTTGGTCTGTAGGAATCAGCAGCAGGCGCTCAACTTCATGACATTATCATTATGTGAAAAGTCAACTTGTACTCCAAGAAACTGTCCCTATTACAAATTCACATGCTTCCTTCTAACATTTGCTCACTGAGAACCCATAGCTACAAGGTTTGGATGGTGAATTTCCATCACAATCTCACACTGCTTTTTAAAACCTTCATTTCACAGTTACTCACAGACATTTTCCCGTTTCGGTTGGCTTCCTCCCTCTCTGCCAACACCTTCAGAAAGTTGTCTTTCAGCTCTTTTCCTGCACTTGCTAGAATTCTAGAAAGGAACAGAAAGAACAGTGTTTGTTTCCAGATTTTTCTATACTCTCACCATCCAGAGAAACAGGAACAAACAAGCGAACAAGCCTATTAAGAAAAGGATCAGATGCTGACAGCCTGAGAGGATTCAGCTGCACCATGGTAAGGTCAAGGGAACACACTGAAAGACATTGCAGATTTTCATGTAAGTCTCGAATAGGAAACCAAATCCCAGCTCCATTAGACATTTTATACCATACAGCATAGCATAGCATAGCATATGGTTTTTATGAATATATTGACATTATAACACCTTCCTCCATTGGGTGGAAAAAGGGTTTGCTTTAGTGTAGTGTCACAGTCAACCCATCATGTACTTTTTCAGAAAAAGATCAAATTAACCTCATTGGTTGACTCATACCTGATGATCATTTTCAGGTATGCACAGTCTCATGCATATATATGTATATGTGTAGCTGAATGAGTATGGTAAAAAAAAAATAGGGGCCATTAAAACAATTGTACAACATTTCATGAAAGCACCAAAGTTCTACCACTTGGAGACTAACACAGCATCATGTTTGGATACTGGAGCATGTGATATTATACATGCCTGCACATGCACAGTCAGTTGAACACAGTACAACACACAAGGACTCGTTGCAATAGTGCCTTTTTCCCCTACAAGTGCCAAATACATCAAAGAAACTAGTGACCATGCCTGTTAGTGGTGGGTCTGACTATTTATTGTCTAGGCAGCATACAATATTACCCTTTTGTTTAAGCACTGTGACCCCATTCCACCCACCCACCCACCCACACACACCCACACACAGGCCCCTGAATCTATGAACGCAAAGCCGTGGGGACACATGTGACTGAGCTTCCCAATTCAATTTAATTAAAAGAACAAATCTCAGAGCTGTTTCCCAGGAAAATGACACTCTGGCTGCCAGGGGAGTTGTGAATGGATACAGGAGCTCCCATGTCCGGAAGGATATAGATTGTGCTGGATATTGCCAAGCTCTGTTTGCTCTTATTATGCCATCTGAATTTCCACAGGGGAGGGAGGCATGGAAACTAGAAGAAGAAAACTGGTCAGGATTCTTTAGCTCCTGCTATGCCTTTCTCCCGTTTGACTTGAGTTTATTCAGCACTCAACGACCTGCAAAAGCTTGTTAAAATAAATACTGAAAAGAAGTTATTTCCTTAAAAAAAAAAGCTAGAGTAAGTTCTTTACAAAGGATTGGAACTACACTTTTTACAGGTATGTAAACATTCAATGATTCTATTGCTTATTCACAGTATTTGCACCCTTTCTATGCAGTATGAGATGCATTATTAGATGATGATGATAAGAGAAAAATTGAACCTTCTGTTTAATTATTAGCCAGCCAGTTAAGCACATCTTTATGATGTAACGCATATAACTCTGCCATGTTATGTACATATGCTTCCCATTATTCATTTGCATGCTTCAAATGTGGATTTCTAATTCTTTTTCATTTATCACCAAGGAAATATTCCCCAGAGAACTTCTGCAGTGAACCACACTGTGTCAGTGGAAGTGGCACAAGCCAACAGCAAGGCGACAACCCTTGCCCACTCTCTCCACAGCTTGATTTATTCATACCAAAAATATATCATGATAAAAATAATTATTTTGATCTTGTATAGACTCAGTAAACATGCATTGCCTCCACATCAAGTCTCATGCTCCTAGAGTCTGATGGGAAGAAGCAAGCCGTCAGGTGTCGTTGGCAAAAGGATATCCCAGGAAATACGATCCTACAGATCCATGAGGGGCAGGCAGCAAGTAGAACTCCAGATGTTATAAAGTTCCTATTCATTAGAGTGGTCTCCCACCTTTTTCCCACAAAGAACTCAAGGTGGCTTGCACGATCTCCCTCATGTTTGCCCTTTTTTCCTCACAACAACCCTGTAAGTGGGTCAGCCTGAGAGTCAGTGACACTTAAAGTACTAGGAGTTAATTTCCATATGGCCAAATCATGTGGCAGAAAACAATTCTATTCCCCCAGAAGATCTGCCAGCCCTCACCTCACTGATCAACACCAGGGAAACCACTACCAAATAATGGTGCCAGCCCTTTGGCCATGCACAGGTTGCTCTGCAGAGAGACTTTGTGGTCATGCATGTATCTGCTCCACTGCATTTTCTGTGTCTCGTACTTCCTGGCTATGCTGCACCTAAAACGTATGCGACCGTGGCAACAGTTTGGGCAGCTTGTGCGTATGCACTAGCTCTGGTCTGAAGAATAATCACCAAGCTTCAGCCTTTGGGAATGTCCATGCAGGAAGGACTAGAACCACAGCAAATGCACTTCCCATTATCCTCACCAAAAGCCCCAGTCGTCCCGGCAATATTTTGTGCTCAACAATATGAATGTCTCTGCCAAGTCTAGTGATACCAACCGGGTCACACTCCTTTAGTATACTTCCAGACCAAGGTCCGTCTCAAAGCCAAGTCTAAATCAGCATGAAATGCATATAAAAATATGCAAAACCCAGGGGATGGCAAAGTTAAACTAACCTAACCTAGTTAACTTCTCCTCTACTCCATTTCAGAACTACAGATGGGCTTTCTCACCACAGCCAGGGATATTTTTCTTCTCCTCCAAAATTAGTTGAATATTTAAAATTTCCACACTATGAAGTTTGTGGAAATGATTTTAGCGGATCCTAATAAAAACACTACCTTATTGTTATTCTTGACCTTTTTTTCAAGTAGCCTAACAAGGTTACCTGCAATTTTTCACCATTACAATGAGTCCACATGTGCAGTTAGCCTACATCTTCAGAGCCAATATTTATTTATTTATTTATTTAAAGTCTTTATATGCCGTCCCCATTGCTACACAGCCTCGGGACGGCTCACAACATAAATAAATAAAACAAATGGAATAACATTTACAATTACAATTTACAATTAAAATTTGGAAACACACTGGCTACATAATTAAAACTATAAATATTAAAGATTATTAAAATACTGTTTGAATAAAAAGGTCTTGGCCTGGCGCCGAAAAGCAAATAACGACGGCGCCAGGCGGACCTCTCTGGGGAGCGCATTCCACAGATGGGGCGCCACTGCAGAGAAGGCCCTCCTCCAGGTACTTTGCTTCCTGATATCTCTTACGGAGGGCTCCCAGAGGAGAGCCCCTGCTGCCGATCTAAAGGGGCAGGAGGGCAAATATGGCCACAGGCGTTCCTTCAAGTATCCTTCTTCAGGAAAATTAACAGGCTACTGATCTTACAAGGATTTTTCCTTTGCCCGCTTCATTGGATTATGTGAGAATAATACTAGTGTAAATAATGCGGTTGAGGTTTTAGCACAGTATCTTGTAGGGCTGCATGGATTCCATCAACCTGAAACACAACTTAATCTCTTTAAGAAACAGGTGTTTACTCAAGAGCAAAAATTGCTTTATACTATGAGGGGGAGGGGCACGAAGTTCCCACCAAAAACCATTAAAGCTTTTGAATCTTCCCGGCTACACACACTGCACAGGCGCAGCACCCATATGTGTGATGCACAGAGGCCATGATGAAGACTTAGCTTATCATATTTTTAGTCCAAATGTAGAGAGTGATAAAAACTAATAATGTGTCTTTGCAGATTATTAACCATTGTTTTGCTGTTTTTCCAAGGGAACATGGGATTCCCCCTAAAAGCTGGCCATAAGTGTCAAGCTCTTGAGATTTGAATTAGTTTAGAGTTGATTATAGACTCTATAATACAGAGTAAGAAAACTTGTGAGTCAAGATATCCCTTCATGCACATTTCAGAAAGCTGGCACTAGAGATATAGAAAGGATTCTGTATATATAAGAATTTGTATGCATGTATGTATGTATGTATGTATGTATGTATGTAAGGTTTTTGTATGCCATCCCAATTACTAAAGAAGTCTCCGGGTGGCTTACAGAGAGAGAACCAAAAAAAACAGAACCCATCACAATGACAACACACATCTTAAAAAAAGTAGACTGCATCTAAAATAATAATAAAAACAACAGTAAAACCAGTTAATCATTAAAATACCGGGGAAATAAAAAGGCCTTCACCTATATTTAGTTTAAGTTATCCATTCCTACTGCAGAAGTTGGGATTTTTGTATATTTCAGGAACTCTGGTTACAAATGCTATACTTACCTGCTCCATTTTACATACAATCATACATAATGATTCAAGAGTGATTTTGCTTGCACATATGTGCTGTCTGGGATTTTTTGGCAGAAGAGAATGGAACGGAGAGAGGAAGTAGATCGCATTGGCACGAGGTGGGTTGCTGGACCAAAAGTGCAAGGAAAACGGCTCTGGACAGTGACACAGTTATGCTAAGCAAGGAGTCTTCAGCTATGGCATGTTGAAACTGATTTCAGTCAGAAACCACCCTTCTTGTTCGCAAGCCTTCAGCTGCAGATCTCTCTGTACACAAGTCCCCAGAAGCAATTTCCACTCACATTAAAGCTAACTCTTCAGTACTATCAGAGGACATTCTCCCTGTGGTAACTTGTTTTTAAAAGAGATCATCTAATACATTTCCAGCTTTCAAAGAAACTGTAATGAGACAGTCCTTACTCCCTAGGCAATGTGTACTCACTACTGATCTTCAAATGAGATCAGTGGGCCACATGCTGAGATGCTCAGAACAACCTTTTGTGAACTGTTGGAGGTTGATGATTTGCCGGATGCAAAACAAAAACTTGCAAACAAATCTGCTAAAATTATCTACTGCTGGGACAGAACTTCCAAAGACGCACACATGAGCTGAAGGCACAGTCCCGGAACTGCTTGTTCTAGCTGGGCCATCCAACTCAGTGGCATGTCCAAACAATGCCATGTGGAAAGGGTCAAAACTAATTCAGGAGCAATGCGGAACTTAAATGCTGCACAGGCTACAACTACAAAGAACACATGTTATGAAATTTGAATTGTGTGGAGGTTAGGGGATCACTTCCCACAGTGACGGGCATCGGGACAATACTGGTAGTCACAG